TTAGTAAATTTGCGGATGACACCAAAGTCGGTGGAGTTGTGGATAGTGCGGAAGGATGTTGCAGGTTACAGAGGGACATAGATAAGCTGCAGAGCTGGGCTGAGAGGTGGCAAATGGAGTTTAATGCGGAAAAGTGTGAGGTGATTCACTTTGGAAGCAGTAACAGGAATACAGAGTACTGGGCTAATGGTAAGATTCTTGGCAGTGTGGATGAGCAGAAAGATCTCGGTGTCCATGTGCATAGATCACTGAAAGTTGCCATCCAGGTTGATAGCGTTGTTAAGAAGGCGTACAGTATGTTAGGTTTTATTGGTAGAGGGATTGAGTTTCGGAGCCATGAGGTCATGTTGCAGCTGTACAAAACTCTGGTGCGGCCGCACTTGGAGTATTGCGTACAGTTCTGGTCACCGCATTATAGGAAGGATGTGGAAGCATTGGAAAGGGTGCAGAGGAGATTTACCAGGATGTTGCCTGGTATGGAGGGAAGGTCTTATGAGGAAAGGCTGAGAGTCTTGAGGCTGTTTTCGTTAGAGAGAAGAAGGTTAAGAGGTGACTTGATAGAGACATGCAAGATCATCAGAGGATTAGATAGGGTGGACAGTGGGAGCTTTTTTCCTCGGATGGTGATGGCTAGCACGAGGGGACATAGCTTTAAATTGAGGGGTGATAGATATAGGACAGATGTCAGAGGTAGGTTCTTTACTCAGAGAGTAGTAAGGGCGTGGAATGCCCTGCCTGCAAAAATAGTAGACTCGCCCACTTTAAGGGCATTTAAATGGTCATTGGATAAACATATGGATGATAATGGAACAGTCTAGGTTAGATGGGCTTCAGATTGGTTTCACAGGTCGGCGCAACATCGAGGGCCGAAGGGCCTGTACTGCGCTGTAATATTCTATGTTCTATGTTCTATGTTCTATGCCGTCGGAAGGCGACCTACTCATTGTGGGTATTTCTGAATTGCAGATTTCCTTCCATGAAGGACATAGGTGAACCAGATGGGCTTTACCAAATTCAACAGTGGTTACATGGTCTCCATCAGGCCAGCTCTTTATTTCAATCCATTTTTAGCATCTGCTATGCTTGGATTCAAACCCATGCCCCAGAACATTATCCTGGGGATCTGGATGATCAATAAACACTAGCCTACCACCTCCTGCAGCATTCAGTCAGCAATCTGGCACTCACTGCCTGAAAGGGTGATAGAGGCAGAACCCATCTACTCATTGTCAAGTGTCTGGATACACACCTCAAAAACAGGAACCTGGAGGACTACGGATCCTTTTCTGGAAAATGGGATGAGGCTGGCTGGCTCATTTTTCAGCTGATACAGATGCAATGTCTAAGTGTCCTCTTTCTGTGCCATAGATTTATGTTTCCATGATTCTAGCAGTCCAAAGTGTGATGCAATGCTCTGCACTGGTCCGGGTGTGTGAGGCTCCGACAATACACAACGTAATCCAGCCTGTTTAACTGGCATCACATTCACAACCTTCAACATGGAATCCCTACATCACCAACATTGGCAAAAAGGCATCGTAGCAAGTCATCCAAGAACCCTCCAACCTCCTAAACTCTCAACTACTTCCACCTAGAAGGACAAGGGTAGCCAACCCATAGGAACACCATCCCCGCAAGTTCCTCTCCAAGCTATTCATCATCCTGACTTGGAAATATATCACTGTTCCTTCAGTGTTACTGGGTCAAAATCATGGAACTCCCTCCCTGCTGACAGAACACGGACTGCTGAGCTCAAAAAACAGCTCACCCACCACCTTCGGACCACAGAGAAGTGGAATAGCTGCATTACTCTTGCAGAGGCTGAAACAGACACATGGCTCTGAATGGCTTCTGTGCTGACACCCTTGTAATTCAAAAGACGGAAGGGTAATACATTGTGATCTTGCCAGTGAAGTCTACTATATATGACGTAATTAAAAAACAAATGCCTCTCTCCTTCATCACAGACCCACTGTTGGGACTTTGCTGAAACCATCCATGGGTTAAAATAACCAAGGACAGTGTGTTGTCATAGGGATACAATGTGTCTCTTACAACTGGTGAAAGGGTCTGGCCAAATGGTCCCCCTCTCTATACGGTCAGTACCTGAAGAATACATGCAATGACGGAGCTTCCCAGCCCTTTGGGGTAGAGAATTCCAACAGATTCACCACTCACTGACTGAAAAAATTGTTTTCATCTCAGTCCCAACTGACCCATCTCATATTCTGTGAGTGACCCCTCGTTTGAGATCCCCAGTTGGGGAAATATCCTTTCTATATCCACCCTGCAAGAATTGTTTATTTCTGAATCAATCACCATTCATTCTTTTAAATTTGAGAGAATACAGGCACCTTATCTTCAATTGTGGTTCTTGGTGTTAAATATCAGAATGTCATTTGGACAGTGACCTAATTGTATCATTTCTAAGAAGGTATGGGGTTTCCTTCAGCTGCCTAGCAGACCTCTGTGATGCTTATAGTTGAAATGTTTATACAAGTGAATTTATGACAAACAGAGTAAACAGATGAGGACTTTTTTTTGTGTTTTGACTTTAGAAGAGAAGAATCAAATAAGTTCTGAGAAATCAGTCACCTCAGCAGAAATGGATTCTGATCAGTGGAGCTTCCAAATCAGAAAAGCTTGCACTGAAGTGTTCAAGTTGTTAAATCTGAGAAAGCTCACATCAGAATTATGAATTGGTCATGCCAATGAGCTTGGAATGGTATCATAAAACTGTCTCCTCTGTCCAAGGGAAAGAAACTGGGAGGAGTCATTTAGTAAACACTGATAGAGCTGAAATAGACTGAAATGTCTCTGGAATTGAGTATAAGAACAAAAGAACAAAAGAGAATTACAGCACAAGAACAGGCCCTTTGGCCCGCCAAGCCTGTGCCGATCATCATGCCCTGACTGAATCAAAAATCAAACCTTCTGCCTCTGTTCAGTCCGTATCTTTCTAATCCCTCCCTATTCATGTAACCATCCAGATGCCTCTTAAAAGTCGCCAACATGCTTGCTTCCACCACCTCCTCTGGCAATGCATTCCAGGCTCCTACCACTCTGTGTGAAAAAACTTCCCTCGCACATCTCCCTTAAACTTTCCCCTCTCAACTTGAATCTGTGCCCCCCTGTAAATGAAACTTCAACCCTAGGAAAAAGCCTCTGACTATCCACCCTATCTATGCCTCTCATAATTTTGTAGACCTCTATCAGGTCTCCTCTCAGCCGCCATCTTTCCAGTGAAAACAATCCCAGTCTTTTTAACCTTTCCTCATAGCCAATGCCCTCGAGACCAGGCAACATCCTGGTGAGCCTTTTCTGCGCTCTCTCCAAAGCTTCCACATCCTTCTGGTAATGTGGTGACCAAAACTGCACACAATACTCCAAATGTGGCCTAACAAGGGTTTTATAATTGCTGCAGCATGGTTTGCCAACTCCTGTACTCCATGCCCCAGCCAATGAAGGCAAGCATGCCATATGCCTCCTTAATCACCTTGGCCACCTGTGTTGTCACTTTTAAGGAACTGTGGACCCACACACCCAGATCTGTCTGAATGTTAGTGTTTCTAAGGGTTCTGCCATTAACAGTATAATTCACACCTAAATTTGGTCCTCCAGAATGCATCACCTGGCATTTGTCTTGATTAAAACTCTATCTGCCATTTCAGTGCCCAAGTCACCAATCTATCTATATCCTGTTGTATATTTTCATAATCGTCAGCACTATCAGCAACTCCACCAATCTTCGTGTCATCTACAAACTTAATAATCAGACCACCCACGTTTTCCTCCAGATCATTTATACATACTACAAACAACAGAGGACCTAAGACTGATCCTGTGGAACACCACTAGTTAGCGCTCTACATTCTGAAAAACCCCCTTCCACTGCTATCCTCTATCTCTATGACCAATTCAGTTTTGTATCCATCTAGCCAGCATACCCCGAATCCCATGTGATTTTAGTTTTTGTACCAATCTGCCATGTGGGACTTTATCAAATGTTTTACTGAAGTCCATGTAAACTACATCCTTCTCTCACCAATTATTTTTGTTACCTCTTCAAAAAATTCAATCAAGTTGGTGAGACATGACCTTCCCTGTACAAAACCATGCTGCCTGTCACTAACTAGTCCATTTTCTTCCAAATGTGCATGTATCTTGTCCCTCGTATCTTCTCCAAGGGCTTTCCCACTACAGATGTCAGGCTCACTGACCTATAATTTCCTGGGTTATCCCCTGCTCCATTTCTTAAACAAGCGAAAAACATTGCCTAATTTCCATTCCTCTGAGTCTGTGATCAAAGAGGATGTGAAGGTATCTGCCAATGCCCCAGCTATTTCGTCCCTTGCCTCTCGCAGAAACCTGGGATGGACGCCATCTGGTCCTGGGGACTTGTCTACCTTAATACAATTTAGGATATCCAAAACTTCCTCCTTCAATATATTGACATTCTCACACACTCATCCCTGACCTCAACATCAGTTAAACCCTTCTCCTTGGTGAATATTGATTCGAAGTACTCATTAAAGTTTTCTCCAATTCCTGTGGCTCCACAGGAAGTATCTGTAAAAGCAGTGTGGGGAAATAGATTGAAACTTCATAAAGAAAAACAAAGAACTGCAGATACCAGAAATCATAAACAAAATCAGAAATTGCTGCAAAAACTCAGCAGATCTAGCAGCTTCTGTGGAGAGAAAGCAGAGTTACTGTTTCAGGTCCAGTGATCCTATTTCAGAATACCTGAAGTTTCTGGATCTGAAACGTTAACTCTGCTTTCTCTCCACAAGTACTGTCAGACCTGTTGATACTTCCCTGCAATTTTGGTTTTTGAAACTTCACAAGTTTGGAGTTGGCCGACAGCACCAATGTCAGGAAAGCTTCATGTATGAATGAACATTCAATGTCCTTTGAGCACCTTCCAATACAGAGGCCACTGCTCTATCTCTAGCCTGTCCACTCTTAAATCACAGTACACTTCCAATCAGCACCAATACCTCACAGCTTCTTCTCCTTTCAGTTGCTCTGCTTGTTCTCCTGGTTGCTTGATGATGGGCTCCTCCTGGGGAGTTTCCATATCCAAGCTGTGACCTATCTGAAATCATAAAGCACTTTTATAATTTGACATGACAGAAACTAAATGATCACATTTAAAATAAATCTGAACAGTGAGGCTTTAACCATGTATCTCTAAGTATGCAAAGCTATTCCAAGGTTCATCCTCCCCAGTTGATTCAGTTCAGGGCTCTGTCCACCAAAACAATAGGACGTTCTAGAACTAAACTCCGCATTCCAGGCTGAAGCTAACAAGCAGAGAGGATGGCTGATCTGGGCTCATAACACTCCATCACCAACTGAAACCAATCTACCAATTGCAGATCGTTTGTTCATTAATGAAGGCTGTGCCCTGGGTCGTCATATTTCACTTCCAAATGATGATTTGACGTATCTTAACCCATACTTCAGCTCTGGGGTACCTGTGATTCCAGAAACCATCCCAAACACCTCAATTAGACCCCAGCCCAAACTACACTCTTGGGTATCTCTTCTATAAACCAGCTGAAACCTCTCAATGAGATTCTAGTCTGTAACTCACTCCCAAGTATGAGTTATTCTATATAAAAACCACCCCGAATCCCTCGATTAGATTCCAGTATGTAACTCACCTCTCAGGTATCTGTTATTCTATAATATAAACCACCTTGAATTCCTTGATTAGATTCCAATCTGTAACTCAGTCCCAGGTCATCTATTGTTCTGTATATAAACCATCCCCGACCTTTGATTTGATTCCAGTCTGTAATTCACCCCAAGCTATCTGTTATTCAATATATAAACCACTCTGAATCCCTCTATTAGATTCTTGACTGCAACTCACTACCCAGTACTTGTTATTCTATATATAAACCAATTCCCTCAGACCTCTCACTTGGATTCTAGTCTGTAACTCACTCCTGGACATTTTTTATTCTGTATATAAACCACACTGACCCCCTTAATTACATTCCAGCCTGGAGCTGCAATTAAGGCAGCTGATACATGGGAATACTACCCCCTGCAAGTTCCCCTCCAAGCCACTCACCATCCTGTCTTGGAAATATATCGCTTTCCTTCGCTGTCACTGCATCAAAATCTTGGAATTCCCTCCCTAAGGGCATTGTAGGTCTCCCTACAACACATGGACTGCAACAGTTCAAGAAGGCAGCTCACCACCACCCTCTCAAGGTGCAACTAGGGACGGGCAATAAATGCTAGCCTAGCCAATAACACCCACGTTCCACGAGTGAATAAAATAAGACTCACACTTGAGTATATGCTGTATTGTATATGAAATCAAAATCTCTCATCAGATTCCTTCTCACCTAATTCTCCTCTTCACCCATACCCCCCACCACCAAATTTTGGAGGACTGCGCACAGTTTTATTTTAACTGTAAAAATGAGAGTGGCGTAAAGCATGTGTGCTCACTTTTACAATGTTGCATGCTACAGCTCTCTGAACATTGTTCCTGTGTGAATACGAAGGTAATGAGGAAGTTTCCCTGTAATAATAATGTGACCCAGTGGTAATGATTACAATAACTTGTCAATATTTCAATGTCATGGTGAGGCACATAACATGGGCAAGTTAAGGCTCACAGTGTTTCAAGAACACACCATATTCCCACATTCTCAGGGCAATTAGGGGTGGGCAATCAATGCTGGTGTTTTTAATGGTGTCCTTTGCCCACAAAAGAATAAAAAAAAGTGAACTCTCCATAAGAAGGGAGATGGTAAGCTAGCTATGAACATGAACTCTCCACCCTCTTTGCTGCATCATTTAGTTTCTCGACCAAGGATGTAGTTCTCCAGACCTGCTGGGTTACCCAACCTTCCCCACTCCTGTCCTGAACCATGAACCACTCTGCATCTCTGCACCTTTGACTCAAAACACTTTATATCCACACTTACCTTGTCTCTGGTGCTAGCTCTAGGTTTGGGCTTGATGCTGATTGATATACAGGGGCTAAAGGGAGTGTAGGCTCTTTGATCAGTATTGCCATCGTCCTCGTCCTCCTCCTCATATATATTCACATGTGTCTGAGTGACCCCTTCACCTTCATTACCTACAAGAACACAAAGATGGAGAGTCACTGGACTGGACTGGAGGGTTTCAGTTATAAGGCGACGTTGGATAAGCTGGGTCTTTCTCCCTGTAGTGTAAGAGACTGAGGGGTGACCTTATAGAGATCTATGAAGTCATGAGAGACATAGAGAAGGTAGATAGCCAACAGCTTTTCCCCAAGGTAGGGGAGTCTAAAACTAGACAGCATAGGCTTAAGGTGAGAGAGGAGAGACACAAAAGGGTCTAGACGGGCAATTTTTTCACACAGAGTGGTGAGTGTCTGGAATGGGCTGCCAGAGGTAGTGGTGGAAGTGAATACAATTTTGTCATTTAAGAAACATTTAGATTGGTACATTGATGGGGCAGGTATGGAGTGATATGAACCTAAAACAGGCAAATGGGACTAGTTTAATGGTGAAAATTGAGTGGCAATGGGCATGTTGGGGTGAAGGGCCTGTTTCCAAGCTGTAGACATTTGTGACTCTATGACTGTAATGCACACCAGCGGTAACAACTGAAGTTGGAACAACTGACTACTAGAGCCCAGTTCCAAATTATGACCTCATTCCTCAATCCCCCAACCAGTTCTGTAAGGACCACATATATTTTCTTTGGAATATAAACTAGAAAACAGAAGCTTCCAATATTAGTTTTTTAATAAAACTGAGCAAAATGTGTAACTGCATGGAGTTAATTCACCGGTTACACAGAAGCATGCAAATTTTGCTGAACCTGTACTTATGACAGGTATAAGGTGGAAATCACAGTTGAGAATCAAGAGGAATACTGAAGGTTTAGGTGTGATGTAGAGGTGCTGGTGTTGGGCTCGGGTGGACAAGGTCAGAAATTACACAGGTTTTGGTCCAACGGGTTTGTTTGAAATCACAAGCTTTCAGAGCCTCGTTCCTTTTTCAGGTGTTAGTGAGAAAGGTGGTATCAAACACAGAGCTTATAAGGAAAAGATCAAAGGGTCACACATCTGATGAGAAGGTATCAAACTTAAATCTGGTGTTAAATCTTTAATCAGTTAGAAGGTTTTCATTGAGTAATATGTATGTGTAAATCGCCGAAATTCTTTCTAGTCACTGCCCTGAGGGGACTAAAGGTTTTACCGGGGGAGGCGATGGCCTAGTGGTATTATTGCTGGACTATTAATCCAGAGACCCAGAAAATGTTCTGGGGACCCTGGTTCGAATCCAGCCACAGCAGATGGTGGAATTTGAATTCAATAAATATCTGGAATTAAGAATCTAATGATGACCACAAATCCATTGTTAATTGTCAGAAAATCCTATCTGGTTCACTAATGTCCTTTAGGGAAGGAAACTGCCATCCTTACCTGGTCTGGCCTACGTGACTCCGGACCCACAGCAACGTGGTTGACTCGTAACAGCCCTCTGGGCAATTAGGGATGGGCAATAAATGCTGCCTAGCCAGCAATGCCCTCATCCAATTAATGAATAAAAACAAAACATTGACGGGCTATCTATAAATTGTGTGCTTTTTGAACAAAGTAGAATGTATCTGCAAATACAAATTCACCCCATAGATTTACGTGCATATCTGTGTGTGTGGAGGAGAGAGAGAGAGAGTGTGTGTGTGTGTGTGTGTGTTGGAGAAAGAGTATGTGGTTTAGCGAGGGAGAGTGTGGTTTAAGCAAAGAGTAATTATGAGACCATACTAGCAGCTAACAAAGGGAAATCCCAAACTCTCCAAGAGGTATATAAACTGGCAAGGTCACCATGGGGCAACACGGTGGCTCAGTGGTTAGCACTGCTGCCTTACAGTGCCAGGGACCCAGCTTCAATTCCAGCCTTGGGCAACTGCCTGTGTGATGTTTGCACATTCTCGCCATGTCTGCGTGGGTTTCTGCTGGGTGCTGTGGTTTCCTCCCACAGTCCAAAGATGTGTAGGCTAGGTGGATTAGCCATGGGTTACAGCGATAGAGTTGGAGTATGAGTCTGGATGGGATGCTCTTCAGAAACTTGGTGTGGACTTGTTGGGCCGAATGGCCTGTTTCCACACTGCAGGATTTCTAAAAATTCTAATTCACCATATAGGTCACCTTCTCAACTTTGCCCCTTGCCTGAAGTGTGGTGACCATCAAACTAAACCCCACCAGACCCATCTCTCTACTGAGACAGCAGTCCTATGGTTCTCTGGGGCATACTACTACGGCAACAGGAAAAAAAAATCAGAACATGGTTAAAGAAGGAGTAGGTCTTATCAGAGACCAAAAATGAGATTTACATGTGAAGGCAGGGGCAGGACTGAGGTGTTAAATTAATACTTCACATGTGTCTTTACAAAAGAAGAGGCTGCTACTTAAGATATGGTGAAAAAGGAGGAAAACCTGTTACGAAAAGGGACCACAATTAATAAGGAAGAAGACATGGATAAATTGCTGGCACTTAAAGTTGACAAGAATCCCAAGGTCAGGTGAGATGCTACCCTCTAGTCTACTGGGATCTCACCCGTGGCTAATGATGATGCAGATATATCAGCCAGGGCCCCTGCAATATTTTCTCTAGCCTCTTGCAAGGTTCTTGGATATATCTGGTCAGGACCAGGAAATTTATCCACCTTCATACATTCTAATACTTCTAACACCTCCTCTACTGTCTCCAAAGCAATCATATCTTTCCTACAACGTGACACCCACAGTCCTCCAACTGGGGGTCTAACAAGTGTCTTGTACAAGTTCAGCATCACCTCCTTGCTCCTGTACTCTTATGCCCCCATTAATAAAGCTGAGGATACTGTGTGCTTTATTAACTGCTCTCTCCATGTGTCCTACCACCTTCAGTGACTATGCACAGATACCTCCATATCCCTCTGCTCCTGCTCTCCCTTTAGAATTGTACCCCTTTCTTTATATTGTGTTCAGTTTTGGTCACCTTGCTATAGGAAGGATGTTATTAAACTGGAAAGAGTGCAGAAGAAATTTACAAGGATGTTGGCAGGACTCAACAAACTGAGTTATAGGGAGAGGTTGGACAAGCTGGGACTTTTTTCTTTCAAGTGTAGAAGACTGAGGGGAAATCTTATCGAAGTGTACAAGATCATTACAGGCATAGATAGGGTGAATGCACTGCGTCTTTATCCCAGGGTTAGGGAATCGAGGACTACAGGGCATCAGTTTAAGGTAAGAGGGGAAAGAATACATGGGAACCTAGGGGGCAACCTTTTTACACAGAAGGTGGTACGCATATGGAATGAAGTACCAGTGGAAGTGGTTGATGCAGGTACATTAACATTTAAAAGGCATTTGGATGAATACATGGATAGGAACAGTTTAGAACTGAGAGAGAGAACAGAGAACAATACAGCACAGTACAGGCCCTTTGGCTCACTATGTTGTACCAACCTATTATCCTGCTAAGATCAAACTACCCTGCATACTGTACATTACATTGAACATAGAACATAGAACAGTACAGCACAGTACAGGCCCTTCGGCCCAAGATGTTGTGCCAAACTTTTACCCTAACCCTAAGGTCTATCTAACCTCCATCCCTACCTTATACTATCATCCATATGCCTATCTAATAGCTGCTTAAATGCCCCTAATGAGGCCGACTCCACTACCTCCTCCGACAATGCATTCCATGCCCCTACCACTCTCTGTGTAAAGAACCTACCTCTGACTATCTACCTCCACTCACTTTAAAACTATGGCCCCTCATAATAGCTGCCTCCACCCTCGGAAAAAGTCTCTGGTTGTCTACTCTATCTATACCTCTGATCATTTTTAAAAGGATATGAGCCAGGTGCAGGGAAATCGGGTGAGTGTGGATGGATGTTTTGGTCGGCATGGACCAGTTTGGGCGGAAGGGCCTGTCTCTGTGCTATAGGACTCATTGATGCTATGACAGTGTGGGGACAATTTACAAGAATGATTCCAGGATTGAGAAACTTCAGTGATAAGGACAGATTGAAGAACTATTCTCCGTGAAGGGAGGAGGCTGAGAAGGGATCTGATACAGGTTTTCAACATCATGAGCGCGCTGGATAGCGTAGATAGGGAGAAGTTGTTTCCACTTGCAAAAGGAACAAGAACGAGAGGATAGAGATTTACAGTGATCTGCAAATGATGCAAGATTGATGTGAGAAAACCTTTTCATGCAGCGAGTAGTTAGGGCCTGGAATACCTTGCCTGTAATGTAGCGGGGTAGCTTCATCCAAGGCATTGGATGATTATTTGGGTCGAAACGGTGTGCAGGAATGGGGGGAAAGGCAGGAGATTGGCACGATGTAATAACATTGGTGCAGGCACGATGGGTTGAATGGCCTTCTAATGCATTGTAACAATTCTGTGATTCCAGAGACTGGAGGGAGGCTCACTCGCAACTTCGAGGGGGAAAGAACAGGGCTCACTCAAACCCTCAGAAGAGTGTTCACTCTCCTCCTCGAGGGGGAGTGGGAGGGCTCACTCAATCCTCGAGGGGGAAAGGAGGAGGGCTCTCACACTCTCAAGGGAGGAGAAGAGAAGGGTCACTCATTCTCAAAAGAGGAGAGGAGGCAGGCCCACTCGCATCCGCACAGAGGAGAAGGGCTTTCTCAGACCCTCAAGGGAACATAGAACATAGAACAGTACAGCACAGTATAGGCCCTTCAGTCCACAATGTTGTGCTGACCTATTATCCTACTCTACGATCAAACTACTCTGCATACCCTACATTTTACTGTCATCCATGTGCCTATCCAAGAGTCGCCTAAATGTCCCTAATGTATCTGACTCCACTTCCACTGCCGGCAGCGCATTCCACACGCCCACCACTCTCTGTGTAAAGAACCTGCCTCTGACATCTCCCCTATACCTTCCTCCAATCACCTTAAAATTATGCCCCCTCGTGATAGTCATTTCCACCCTGGGAAAAAGTCTCTGACTATCCACTCTGTCTATGCCTCTCATTATCTTGTAAACCTCTATCAAGTCACCTCTCATCCTTAACAAAAACCGAAAGAACTGCAGATGCTGTAAATCAGGAACAAAAACAAAGTCGCTGGAAAAGTTCAGCAGGTGGAGATGTGGATAGTGTGGAAGGATGTTGCAGGTTACAGAGGGACATAGATAAGCTGCAGAGCTGGGCTGAGAGGTGGCAAATGGAGTTTAATGCGGAAAAGTGTGAGGTGATTCACTTTGGAAGGAGTAACAAGAATACAGACTACTGGGCTAATGGTAAGATTCTTGGTAGTGTGGATGAGCAGAGAGATCTCAGTGTTCATGTGCATAGATCACTGAAAGTTGCCACCCAGGTTGATAGCGTTGTTAAGAAGGCGTGCGGTGTGTTAGGTTTTATTGGTAGAGGGATTGAGTTTCGGAGCCATGAGGTCATGTTGCAGCGGTACAAAACTCTGGTGCGGCCGCACTTGGAGTATTGTGTACAGTTCTGGTCACCGCATTATAGGAAGGATGTGGAAGCATTGGAAAGGGTGCAGAGGAGATTTACCAGGATGTTGCCTGGTATGGAGGGAAGGTCTTATGAGGAAAGACTGAGGGACTTGAGGCTGTTTTCGTTAGAGAGAAGAAGGTTAAGAGGTGACTTAATAGAGACATACAAGATGATCAGAGGATTAGATAGGGTGGACAGTGGGAGCCTTTTTCCTCGGATGGTGATGGCTAGCACGAGGGGACATAGCTTTAAATTGAGGGGTGACAGATATAGGACAGATGTCAGAGGTAGGTTCTTTACTCAGAGAGTAGTAAGGGCGTGGAATGTCCTGCCTGCAACAGTAGTAGACTCGCCAACGTTAAGGGCATTTAAATGGTTATTGGATAAACATATGGATGATAATGGAACAGTCTAGGTTAGATGGGCTTCAGATTGGTTTCACAGGTCGGCGCAACATCGAGTGCCGAAGGGCCTGTACTGCGCTGTAATGTTCTATGTTCTATGTTCTAGGTCTAGCAGCATCTGTGAAGGAAAAACCTACTTGCTGCATGGAAAGGTTTTCTCACATCAATCATGCATCATTAGCAGGTCACTGTAAATCTGTACCCTCTTGTTCTTGTTCCTTTTACAAGTGGAAACAACTTCTCCCTATCCACGTTATCCAGCCCGCTCACGATGTTGATTTTTTCTTCACAGATGCTGCAAGACCTGCTGAGCTTTCCAAGCAACTTTGTTTTTGTCAACTCTCATCCTTCTTCGCGCCAATGAAAAAAGCCCTAGCTTCCTCATAAGACCTGCTCTCCAGTCCAGGCAGCATCCTGGTAAATCTCCTCTGCACCCTCTCTAAAGCTTCCACATCTTTTCTATAATGAGGTGACCTGAACTGAACACAATATTCTGAGAGTGGTCTAACCAGGGTTTTATAGAGCTGCAGCATAACCTCGCCGCTCTTAAACTCAATTCCCTGCCAATGAAAGCCAACATACCATACGCCTTCTTTACAACCCTTTCAACTTGGGGAGCAACTTTAAGGGATCTACGGACATGGACCCCCAGATCCCTCTGTTCCTCCACACTGTCGAGAATTCTGCCATTAACCCTGCTGAAGAAGTTAGGTGGGAAGATGATAGGGAGGAGAGGAGGCGGACTCACTCATCCTCATACAGGAGAAGGGCTCACTAAGACCCTTGAGAGGGATGGGGGAGGGCTCACACGACCCTCAAGAGGAAGAGGAAGAGGGTTCATTCAGACCCCCGGAGATGAGGGGGGGTCATTCACAATCTCGAGGGGACAGAGCAGGGCTCATTCTCATTAATGAAGAGGAGATGGAAGCCCTCTATCACAGTCTGCTGATAGGCTCACATACAGACACTGAGACACACCCACCGTGTTTGAGAGTGCAGTTCTCCTGACCTCCTGCAGCATCATGTTCCGTTCCACTGTCAGTGTCCGAAGTCAGCTCCTGTTGGTGGTTGTGGTTGGAGTGATTGAGATCCTGTACCGGAAAGTCTTCTGCAAACTCTGACCTGTCGGTGACACTGCACAGGTTTAAGCAACACCGATCAGATTAAATCTTGCCCAATGTGGTGCTGATTCACACATTGAGGAAGATGACAACTTTGATACCTCGCCTGTGACTCATAACCGGCTTGAGCCCAAGGAACAAGCAAGGTCTTTCAGGTGACTCATCCATCCCTCAAGAAGTACTCAAGCAGGAACTAAGGAATAGGATAAGACTTAAGGAGAACTCCTCCACTATCAGTATTCTTCAACACAAGTGGCTCCAAGTTCCTCCATGTTGGATTTCTCCCATTCATAATATCACATAACTCTCTGTGGGACAAATGTAAGGCATACCATAGCTGTTCAGAGACTTAATCACCATTGCATTCGAAGGTTCAAGGTCTTTGGCCCTACTTCCAGAGGATAGTGTTGATGTTTGTTTAGGTCAGCTGTTCTGTAAATGTACAGGATAAACACTTAGACTTACTGTACAAAAGATCCAACGTGTTCTTTCATATCAGCCTCCAAGCCGATGACAGGAGTCCCCAAAGATGCTGGGTAGCCGGTGTCCATACTGGTCTCCCTGTCTAACTTCAGCCTGGGTTGCTCTATTACCTGACTCTCCACATTCTGCAAACAAAACATAATAACAAGCCAAGAGAGATAGTAAGAACTGCAGATGCTGGAGTCAGAGGTAACACAGTGCAGAGCTGGATGAACACACCAGGCCAGGCAACATCAGAGGAGCAAGAAAGTTGACGGTTCGGGTCGGGGCCCTTCTTCAGAAATGGGGGAGGGGGAAGGGAGCTCTGAAATAAATAGAGAGGAGGGGTGGGGCTAGGGAAGGTAGGTGGGATGAGTGCATGTAGGCAGTGGTGGGTATTGGTCATTGAGGTGGGAGGAGCGGATAGGTGGGAGAGAAGATGGACAGGGTTGTGTCAGGTCAAGGAGGAGGGGAGAGGGAGGCTCAGACATGGGATGAGGCCGGGGGAGGTGGGGAGATTTTGAAACTGGTAAAATTCACATTTAGGCCATGTAGGCTCCCAAGGCAGAAACCCTAACCCTAACCACCTATCCGCTCCTCCCACCTCACTGATCAATCCCTACCACTGCCCACATGCACTCACCTATCACCAACCCACCTCCCTTCCCTTGCCCCCCCCCTCCTCTCTCTATTTTGTCTGAGCTCCCTTCCCCCCTCCCATTTCTGAAGAAGGGTCCCAACTCAAAACGTTAACTTTCCTGCTCCTCTGACGCTGCCTGGCCTGCTGTGTTCCTCCAGTTCCACACTACAATAACACGCCAATACAGTCAACTTCTGAGTGTAAAATTAAAGCATATTGGATTGGGCAGTAGTGTACTGATGTGGATGGAGAACTGCTTGGCAGATAGGACACAAAAAGTAGAAACAAACATTTTTCCAAGTGGCAGGCAGTAACTAGTGGAGCACTGCAGGGATCAGTGCTCGGACTCCAGCTATTCATAGTATATATGATGAATTAGATGACAGAACTAAATGTAATATTTTCATTTTTCAGATGACACAAAGCTGGGTGGGCAGGTGAGCTGTGAGGAGGTTGCAGAGATGCTTCAGTGTGATTTGGACAAGTTGAGTGAGAGGAGAATGTATGGCAGAATAAGTATGAAGAACAGTACAACGCAGGAACAGGCCCTTCGACCCTCCAAGATTGTACCAACAGATGGCACCTTTCTAAATTCAAAACATTTTGATCCTACACGGTCCAAATCTATCCATCTATTCCCTGCTTATTCATATATCCGTCAAGATGCCTCTTGAACATTGCTATTGTATCTGCCTCCACCACCATAATCTTATGAGGGTCATGGACAGTGTAGATGAGGAGCAGCTGTTCCCTTTATTAAACAGTCAGTCACAATGGGACATGGATTTAAAATGAGGGGCAGGTGGTTTGGAGCAATGAGAGGAAAAGCGTTTTTCCCAGAGGGTGGTGACAGTATGGAATGTTCTGCCTGGGAGAGTGGTTGAGGCGAGTTGCCTCACACCCTTTAAAAAGTACCTGGATGAGCACTTGGCATGTCATAACTTTCAAGGCTACGGGCCAAGTGCTGGTGAATGGGCTTAGGTTGAAGGTCAGGTGTTTCTCATATGCTGGTGCAGACTCAATGCACTCTATGATTGTGTGACTCTACAATACCACCTCTGGCAGTGCACTGCAGGCACTTACACTCTCTGTGTAAAATACTTGCTTCTCGCATTTATCGTACTCCCTTTTACCTTAAACCTATGTCCCCTAGTAAGTGGGGAAAAATGTGAGGCCATCCACTTTGGTAGCTAAAAAAGGAAGGTAGATTATTATCTGAATAGTTATAGATTAGTAAAGGAGTAGGTACAACGAGACTTTGGTGTCCTTGTAAATGGTATGTTGGCTTTTATAGTGAAAGGATTTGAGTTCAAGAGCAGGGATGTCTTGCTGTAATTGCACAGGATCTTTGTAAAGGCCATACCTGGAATTCTGTGTGCGGTTTGGTCTCCTCATCGGTGGAAGGATGTTCTGGCTATGGAGGGAGTGTAACAAACATTTATCATATTGACTCCTTGGATGGCAAGACTCTCATATGAAGAATGATTGGATTGGTTTGGTATTCACTGGAGCTTAGAACATGTACCAATCTAACAGGACTGGACAGGGTAAAGGCAGGATGTCCAGGAATTTGAGAACCAGGGGTCACAGTCTAAGGATACATGTTAGGCCATTTAGAACTGAGAGGGGGAGAAATGTCTTCACCCAGAGAGTGGTGAGCCTGTGAAATTCTTTGCCACAGGAAGTGGCTGAGGTCAAAACATTGAATGTTTCAAGAAATTAGATACAGTTCTTGGGACTAAAGGATCAAAGGATTTGGGGAGAAAGCAGGAACAGGATACTGAGCTGATGATCAGCCATGACCATACGGAATGGCAGAGCAGACTCAGAGGCTGAATGAATGGCTCGAGCTCCTATATTCTATGTAATCTGTTAAAGTGGATGAGAATATAAATGTTGGACACAGAATCTGCTGCTCTTCTTCAAACACTTGTGGCATCTTTCTATTCATTTGAAAGGACAGTCAGGGTAAACAGGGTTTCAGTTTATCGACTCCTCCAAAACACAACATCTCTGACAACTCAGCACTACACCAGAGGGTCAGATAAGATTCTGCTGCTTGAATTCTGGAATTGGGTTTGAACACATTATCAAAATCAGAGGACAGAGAGACTCAATTGATATTGGTTGAGCATTACAAGGCTCCCAGTCTGCCCCTACAGTTATAAAACAAACAGGCTCCCTGTCTACCCCTACAGTTAGAAAACTAACAGGT